ATCTGGCATGGCTTTCACAAGCTATCTAACAAAGCAGGATCATTTATAGTGCAGCTAAGACCTTTTTAAAGCCCTTTGCAGTGTTTCTATCACATTTAAGAACTTGAACAGAAGAATGTCCTTTACAAGCCTAAGCCTGAAAAGATGCTAAACTACATTTCAAGTTTCTCCTGGGCCATCAGTTATGAGCAGCAACCTGCTTTTATAGGTGCTACTTGAAAGCACAAGTTCTTCTTAAAGACTCCTTTGGACTGACAACCTTGTTTTTTATAGGCCACTTTATCCCCCCTCTTCCCCCTTAGATTAAAAGATTTTGCCTTATTTTAACTGTACTTACATTTTGTGAAATTCCTATTTCCTTTTGTAAAACACATGTTTTCTTAGTGGTATTTGTATATATTCAGCTCAAGTCAAGAGTATAAAGTTGTACCAAATTACTTTTTTTTTCCCTTTCCACTTTCAAGATAGGACTTCAAGCTTCTCTTGGAATGTGTAATTTCAAGGAAAAGATATGGAAGAGGGTAAGTGGACCCAACCATTATGATCACATTTTGATTTCATTTAAGTCACAGTTCTTTGTTTCAGCATCACTTACCAGTCACTGCTCATATTATTTAATACACCCCCACCTATTCCCTGTTTTCTTCTAGGCTTAAGAATGCAGAGAACTAGGATTCAAATGAGATGGCAGTCCTTTAAAAGAAAAATCAGTCACTGAGGCACCACTCAGGCAGAGTTTCCATCCAGGATAAAAATGAACCAACTGTCATTTAGTCAGAATTCTATAACAGCTATGTAAAGACACAGTAATTCATATTTTTAAGTTCAGCAATATTCCATATGTCACATGTTCTGCATCTATTGCTAATACAGAAGACAACAGGAAAGAAGTACAAATGGAATATTTTCTGAGGTGTATATAAAGAGATAAGTGCTTGTATTTAAACCTTTGAAACCCTTCCTGAAGGCAACTGAAGATTTTGTTTCATTAGAAATGAAAAAAATATTACCATATAGAAGAGTATTTGATCACTGCGTAAATTAAAAACTCAGATTCTTTGACAAAGTCAAAGGATTTCTACATTATCCACCAGAAGAACTGGAAGAGGTGATATACACATAGCTGAAGTCTTACAGACAAGATACAACACAAGATAATTTGGACCTGCAGTAAAAGTTACTTCAGAGGATAATAAGACATGAAATAATTTTGCACATTGGTACATGAACAACAACTAAGAAAAGGTTAATCAACTGCAATTGTTATAGTGCTACAGCTATGCTGGTTTAAGAACACAAGGCAAGACTGGTAGAGCAGATCTAATGAAAGAGATTACTTCAGTCACATGAACAGGTCACAGAAACATTCAGATGAAAGCATACCCTTTCTCAGACTACCTCGGTTCATCTGGTAGAGCTTTTCTCCTGCTGTAAACTTATGTTACTGAAACATTTACAGGCATCTGCTGCATATACACTTAAGTGAATCATGTTACTGTATAGATTATAGTTAAGGCTTCATACTGACAAGCAATACACTAATGCTTGGCATTACCTTTATCTACTTCAGCTGCTGCAGAAAGTTCTTCCTAGAGGATCTATGGGAAAAACTTGTGATATCCATTCTATATGTGTTTCCATTACCTTCAAATTGTAATGCATGCATTCCTACATTTAGATCAGAAGATGGCAGCTCACATTTAATTTATATCAGTGTTAGAGTGAATAACAGCAATATACACAACAGATTATCGAGCATTAGGGAAAAAACATTTTAAACTGAAAGCCACCTCAAATGATCACAGCAATTATCTGAGTTTTCAACAATGTTTTTTCTGCAGAAAGTTTGACATCATGTAAAAAACAACAAAACAAAGAACAACAAGGCAGAACAGCTGAGACAATTAACAATGCAATGGTTTCATATAATTTCCAGTGACTCAAATCTAAACTTCACTACATTAAATGAGTTTCTACACTGCTCCCAGGCAGCACCAAAAGCATCAGTCACATGTGGCTGTTAACTTTTATTAGGCATCTCAACAGCAGACTAATTTGCAACTTTGCAACTGTTGGTCCCACAAAGCACAGCTTTTAGAGAAATAGAAGCAAAAAGCAACAACAACAAACATTTCAGGTTTACCAGATTAAAATCATCTGAATATCAACTTAAAATAAACTTCTGCATCCATCAAAACACAAGAAAAAAATAAGAGAAAACAATACTTTACACATAATATCATATGAAGACTGTTTTTGCAGAGAGGCTGTTCAGATGCTCCAGCCTGTCCAGGTCTTCAACTACTACTAGCTGCTACATTGCAGGGAAATCAACAAAGCTGCAGAAGTCCTCTCTTAATGCTACTTCACAGAAAAATAACTGTTGCAAATGACACAACACTGCACAGAGGCATCAAAAGAACATACAGAGCAAGAGGCATGACCCCACAGAAGATGGTTACACTCTATCACACAGCACTTCAAAATTGTGACAAGCATTGCACTGTAGCACACAGCACTATATTTAGCATACTATCACCCAGGCCCAACTTCTGAAAAAGTCAAGATAAGCAGTGCAAGTTGTTATCAGTAACGCCAAGCTTCACACCAAAAAGAAGTTAAATAAAGAAACAGTGAAATCCAAACAAGGCTGCAAAACCCAAACCAGACGCATCTGAGATCTGTAAAGCACCAATCCTCAGTTACTCAGCTGTAACCGCCCAGCAGCTTTGGTCATTTGGAGACATCTCCCACCTTCCTTTCCCAGGAGGATGCCACAATAAAGTCATGAAAATGCAACACACAGGATATGATGCTACACTTCATCAGGCAGCCCCAAGCATAAAGAGACTTCTTCCTAAGCAACACTATCGTGTTACTGGTGATTATTGCTACATCTTCCCATTGTGCTAGATGCTCGAAGGAGAGCCAAGAACAGCACAATCTAGATGTTTTCAATACACAGCTGAATAACTTATATTCAACCCTCACAATACTTTATACCCTAAGCTTCTTCCATTACTCTCAACTCCAAACTTAATCCAAGAGGGAATACTGCATTCTGGATGCCTTTCTCATGAAAGAAGGAAAGGATTTCAACCTAAACCAGTTACAGATCAAAAAAGAACAAAAAGCTTTGTGCCCAGTGTTTGTTGAAAGCACGAGTTTTTTGGACTCACTCTAGATGCCCTCAAATTTCAGACAAGCTATTTTACCAAAGCATAAATACTTCTGTGCAAGAAAAATTCCTTATCAGTATATGAATACATTTAACATGTCCATAATATACGGTTCTGGAAGAAAACATACCAAACTACAACCAAAAGTCAAATCACTGAGATCTCAAAAGGGCTGAGTACATCAAAATCATATATATTTTTAATAAGTCTAAACAGTCTCCTCATTTTCAACACAAGAGCTGACCATACAGCACTTGCGTTCGCATAAAGAAACTGAGCATCCTCCAAAGCACACATTGTAACTGGCAGTGCTTTATTCCTGTGGGCATGGTTACAATATGGAGATGGAAAGCACACAATGAGAATAAAAGGTTCATGCAGAGGAGAAAAAGGTGCAAGAGATAAAAGAATTTTACGAAGTATAAAGTTTTAGAGGAAAGACAAAGATTGGTTGAGAAAAATAAACTTGGTGTTTGGCTCATCTCCCCAGTCCTGCATCTCCTAAAGCTGAGGAAAGCCTGGATTCTTGGAGTCTGTTCCAAGTATCTTTGTTCTTCTCGCATCGATGAACTCACTGGAAAAACATCCATCTCCTCCAGTGCTAGTCTATTTCCCACTGCTATTGGCATTCTTACTTTAGTTTAAATGGCAAAGACCTATGCAAATACACTTCAGTCCAACAGATAACCCACGTGGGTATCAGTAAGAAGTCATAACATGCCACAATGCTTGCAACAGTTTTATTTTTAACTACATAATAGAGCATTAGGATTGCTAACACAAAAATTAAGAAAAGCCACAACTCAGGCTGCCTTGTGCAACCCTCACTCACTGCTTGTATGCAAACATTATTAAGACCATTTGTATTTAAGATGACATACTATGGTCTTGAAGCAGATCTTCTGTAAAAATGAACCCATAAAAACAAGAGAACATTTACCCTCCCTGACTAGTTTGAAAAGTTAAAGAATCTGTGACACATATAAAAAGAGTGAGACTGCAAAGAAAAAATGCAAAAGAAAACTAGGGAATAGGGCCACCAAAATCACTCCTTGCCATTGCCACAGAGTGTCCTATATGACAGCAGGCTGGCTCCTACCTCAGTCTTTATGGTTGGTCTGTTTGTTTGTTTTGTTTTTTAAACACTCTCCTCATTTTACAAGTACCTATTTAGATAACCTGGAACCTATTCTGCATACACACTCAGTAATCTAGCAGTGGTTAGGATTTAAACATATTAATTGCTTTACACTGTGAAATACACATGGAGAAACAGCAGAATTGTAATAGTGTTCCTGCCAGAGGAAAGAAGTCCATCGCTATCAACAGAGTCGTTGGATGCTGTGGAGATAACCAGCAAAGGAAGGCTGAGAAGTAATTTAATAAATCTGCTTTTCAGGAAGGCTTTCAGTAATGTAGATTGAATAAAACAGAAACTGTACAGAAAATAATAAAGTTAAATACAAGATTGCAATGAATTAAATGAATGCAATCCATCCTAATACCACAGTCCTACGTAACAAAACACACCTAAAGCGTGAATGCGTGCATTCACATAATCAAAAGGCAAAGCTAAATAAGTGCTGTAACCATGTACAGTTCATGCCTAACTCACAAAAAACCAAGCCCAATCTACAGAGCAAATCAAGATGTGGGCTTATAAAGGGTCTAAATTCAGTCATACTTAGAGAAGTCATACACATCTAAGCAAAACAAAACATTAAAACACATTACAAAACTACTTTAAATACCTGATTTTTAAATACCTGACTTGCAAATACAAGAGGAAAGACGCACCGACACCCGCAGATGCTCACTCACCTTGCTGCAGTAAAGCATCCACAGCTCGTACAGCCTCTCCCGGGATGCCATTCCTCCCCTTCCTCCTTTCCTCAGTGCCAGCTCCTTCCGTTCAGGATCCAATCATGCCCAGTTCCCCAGTGCTCTTCCCGCAGTTTTCAGCTTGTTGTGACACTTATATTATAATCCAATAAGAAGTCAAAGATTAAAATAACAGGGTCTCAGTCTCTCCTTTTTGGGTAAACATAGTACGACACCAGAGACTGAAGGCAGCAGCCGAACACGCCCGTTCCTCGCCAGTGGCACTCCGGGTTTAATGTCTGAAAGCGAAAACACACCCTTCAGGCCTCCAGCGGAGGAGAGCAAAACAAACCCAGACTTAAAGCCCACGGCCAGCCTCGGGAATGACGCGAGGCCAGCGGCACCGCTTTCACCCCCGGCTTTACCTCAGCACGGAGAAGCCCGGCTGCCGGTCCCCGCGCCGCCTTCTCGGCGCTGGAAAGAGCGAGGGACTGACGGCGGACGCCGAGCACGGAGGGTTCACCCGCTAAAGGGCCCGGGCGGGCAGTGACAGCCGCCACCCGGTGCCCCCACCGCGAGTACCGCAGCCGCCCCGGAGGCAAGCGAGTCGAGGCGGCGGCCGCCCAGACGGAGACGCCGGCAGCGGCCTTCCCCATTCCCCGCGAGAGAAGCCCCACGCCACGCCGCCCGCTCCGTCACCGCCTCCCGAGAGAGCGCCGCCGCTCCGCGCCGCCACCTACCGCACCCCCGACCTCACCCAGCTTTCCCCGCTCCTCCGCGGCCTCTCCCCACAGCCCACCTGTGCCACGGCGGGAGACGGCCGGGTAGCCCAGGGTACTGAGTGGGCCGGGCCTCGCCACATCGCCCGCCCCGCCCGCATTCCGGCACACGCCCCAGCTGCCGCCAGGGGGTGGGGAAACCACGGGCGCCATTTTGGCTGCGGGCACGGCCGCAGGCGGGAGTTACCCTGCGGGCGGAGTGACCGTGATCGGGAACAGCCATAGGCCCGGAGGCCCCAGTACCATGGAGCGGCTGTCCCTAAGCCCTAGAAGCAGAAAGGCACCTGTTGCGCGCCGGACCCTTACCTAAGGAGAGATTCTATCAGGTTGTGCAGCCACAGCATCTCACACAATTGAAAAAGGCTTACGCAGCCTGAGGGCCACATATAAACAAATGTATAAGCTGCTGCTGTTGTTTAAAAGCAATCTGTGCCTCATGTACAGAGCTCACACAAGACTAAAGAAATACTCCTGCAAGTTACCAGATTTCTGAAAAAGAATGAGAAAAGACCTCAGCTTGATGGTGTGGCTTTTTACAGGCACATCAACAGCTATCCAAGACAGAGTGTGCAAGCTAAAGGCCTACTACACCATACCTCTGTAATCTCAGCAACACTAGAAAGAGACTCTACATCTATCTGCTCTCTTAAAAAACAAGACCAGAAACAAGACTGTATCTAACTCTGAAGCAGAGAGAGCAAGAGTTAGGAAGACCTGAGCTTTTATCTCCAGTGTAGGGGAACAGTTAGGGCTTGAACTGGTACACCTGGTGAAGGGCTGTGTCTGGCCCAGGGAGCACAGGCAGATTGTTTGCACCTGTGCTCCCCAGCTGACCAGAAGGGGGTGGGCACAGGGTACAGCCCCTTGGGCTCATATAAGAGCCAGCCTCTGAAGGGGAAGCATCTTTTAGACTTGGGCTGTTTCTGAAGAAGGATGCTATATAGCCAGAGAGCTTCTTCAGCACTTGGGTGAGTTCTGTTTCTTCTTCTATATAGGATTACTGGTCTCTCTGTAAGTACTTTACCTGATATTTCTGAGAACATATCAGAAACTATTTCACTTCTTTACAAATAAGGACCTGTTCTGTAAGGAAGGCATTAATGAAATGAGATTACTAGGTCATAGCCTTAGCTAATGATTGAACAGTAGCTATGAAGTTGTGACTAATTCAGGGAGCTCAGGTGTAGGTGATGTTCTTAAGTGAGCAGAAGAGGTAGAGCCTGGATCCATCTCTTGTTATCCTTATTTAAGAGCTAGCAGTTAAAGGTGTTACATATCTCTATCTCTGGAGGGAGGATATTCTTCTCTTGAGCTATTATTGATTGTTGGAAGGGGTGAGTAGCTTTTTTTCATTGTTGCTTTTTATTGTTTTGTAGTGCTTGTATCTCATTTGGAGGTGCTAACATTATTTTGTTTTATCATACATTGATCCTGAATCCTTAGTTGTAAGCCTTTGGTTGCTAATACTCCTTCTTGCTTAACTAAATCCTCTACAGCTTCTTTTAGAATGTAAACTGTCATTCACTACATAAGCATTTATGTATGGGGCATTTCTGCAATGTTTTGGTTGATACTCAAAAATTTATTCTCAAGAAGAATTTAGTAGAGTCTCTGTTCTTGGAGCTGTTCAAGAAATGCATAGGTATGATTCTGAGTGATGTGGTTAGTGGGTATGATGTGGTGGGGTGGGTTGGAGTTGTACTAGATAACATTATAGAATGGCTTGGTTTGGGTGAGATATCAAAGGCCACCTGATTCAAAACCATTTGCTGTGGGTAGAGTTGCTAGCCACTTGATGAAGTGCTAGATTGTGATCTTAGTGATCTTTCACATCTTTAATTACATGGAAATTCAGTGAAAAGGAATTGACTATGTAATAGTATGGTATTATCTGCTTTATGAAAAATACTTGGAGTTGAATGTCTCACCAAGAGCCTAGTTTGAGATCAGTTCTTGCACTTATGACTGCATTTTTTGCTTTCAGAATATCACTATAAAGTTTTCCTGTAAAATAATTAAGGACTGATCTGTGTTTGGTACTATATAATTCAGTAGAGGGAGAGTGAGAGTATGTATCTTTTCCTGCAGTGCCTAAGCATAGTTACTAGCATGAGTGGAAGAGCACTAATAAAAAAAACTGTAACATTATTTTTAGTGGTATGTTACACATACTTGGGTACTTACTACTAGCCATAATGCTCTGAGGTTGTTATGTGCCTTTTTTATCAAGAAGAACTCCTAAGAGTTTAGAGTTTAGCACTGCCCTCAGGACAGGATCTGCTGTGCTTTACCCCTAAATTGCTTCCAGAGGACATGCTACCTATTCTGACCACCATCTTGCAGGACTTCTGGAGTGAATACAGGGCATTCTCATTTGCCTTTTCCACAGTCATAAGGAGATAGATAGATCTTTGTGGTGTGCTTTGACATCTGTAGCTCCTCATCTTTTTGGAGTCTTTCTCCAGGATAAATTTAACTTTTTCCCTTTGAGGAATTCAGGCACAGGTGAAGCCAAATACAAACCCAATCTTTCTGAGATATTTCTCCATTTTTTAATTATTAATGTTTGTGAGCAATTACAACTTTATCCACATCCAGGAGAGATGTTGCAGCAGACCTTAGTGAAACAATAGACTCACCCTGATGAAAATGAAGTTCTGCTTCCCACTTAACTGGGCTGCTTGTGGGCAGCAAAATAGGCATTTCCCCCTCTGCTAGATTTGCAGTAGTATAGTTTACCCTGAGGAGGTCTAGGTAGTTACTGTTGATTGTATGGATAGTTCTTGTGTTCTGTGGGTGCTCTGAAGGGAGAGTGAAGTATTAGTGTTATAGCATGTTGATCTGTTCCTGTGACATGGTGAGCAGTTTCCTGGTCTGATTTCCAGAGGGTCTCATACAGCTAAGTTGCATACTGTAAAGTCATTAGTGTGGTTTTCTGGAGGTCTGTATTTTGGATTTGAGTTAAGTTCAGTCTTTTCTGTTGGTATAGACAGCTGGCAGACATTCAGTATTCTCTGACTTTATGAGTTCTTTATCATAGTGCAAATATAAGCAAAGTGAGGGAGGTCTGTGGAAAAAGGTGGGCTACAGTTTCATCCCTGTAGGTCTAGTATAATTCCTGGTGATTTCAGTGTACTTTTACTTTGTGGAGAACTGTCTAAGGATATGAAAGTCAAAGAATGGAAGAAATTTTAGAACAAGAGTTACCTGTGTGCTTTAAGATGTATTTGTGGATTGGTCTATTTGTGAAAGGTAATTACTAATTTTATTGGCTTTATATTGCTTTCTTTTTTGTAACTTGTTCCAATTGCTTCATGGACATTAATTAGTCAGGTTGGTGGTGCTATTTGTTTTTCATTGTCCTTCAGCAGCTGTCCTGTGATAAATCTGTTTACAATGGTGGTTTTTCCCCATACTTTGCTCATCACTTGTGGTTTTGAACCTTGTATCTCTTCAGTAGCTGTATGTTAGTGTCTCACTGTGCACTGAACTTGTTTAGTCAGCAAGTTAGATAAGTGTGGGTAAAAAAGGGTGTGGATTGAGAGAAGGCAATCTGAGAACAAGGAAAAGCTCAGTAATTGACCTGTCTGCAGCTTTGAACTGAATAATCTGTGAAGTGGAAGAAACAAACCAAATGAGAACACCTGTCTTATAGTAATGTTATTTTTAAGCTTCTTTCCTTTATGTGAAAATGGAGATGTGTATACTGACTTCCAGATTATCTGGAACTGGTCTTTACACTGTAAGCTGACAGCCTTGGAAGCTCTGTCTACTACCAAAATACTGTATAGAAGTAAGATTTGTGGATGCTGGTTCCTAGCACTCAGGCCCAATTAGCCCCAGACTGTGTTTGGGTTGGTTATTAAGAAGGAACAAACTGGCCCTGGCAAGACAGTTAGGCCTCTGAGATGGTGCTCTGCGGAGGGTAGCACACTATTGGCTTTCTATAAGTTTCTCTGCTTGAATTTATGCAAATTGAGTGCAGCTGTTCTGGGTAAGCTAGCAAATGTAATGTGTTTAATCTTCTGTCACCATATTCATGTTGTAACCCAGGTAGGTCAGGGTTTGTTCATTGTTTGCAAGATTTGGAAATGGGAAGGAATTTGTTTGTCCCTTAACAAATAAGCTGGTGTTTAAGGTTTTTAGTTGTTTAAGTGGTAGAGGCTGACCACAGCTAAAGCTGGGGAGTGATGATTGAGCTAATAGCATTAAGTCCCTCTAGCCCCTAGCTGTTCTGCTTTCACATATTCAGAGTTAAAACATTCATCACACTTAAATTCAGGAAGGAATTAACCCCGGGGTTGCCTGGGACTATGGCGAGTGTTTTTGTCCTCTGTACTTTGATCTCATTATCACAGGGGAACTGCAATATAATGAATCCCCTGCTGTAAAAGGCCTGGGCAGTAGCTTGATCTTTCCTGTTCTTTTTCTGTAGCATCAGCTCCTTTACCAGGGGCCTTAAAATTGCAGTTGTGCTGGGAGTTGTCTTATGTCAGGTACACCTTAAAGACTCTTTGTAGCTGAGTATTTAGTATGTGATTACAGGCTTATCTTCCACCAAAACTGACTTCTCACTTGAAGTAAACCATCTTAGTGTCTACTTTATTATTGCCAGTGCTCGGTGAAGCTGCCATACTTTCAAGACAAATCATTCTGCTTTAGTAAAGATATAACTTAACAAATTATTTCATTACGTTGCAGAGCTTAGTAGGTCTCAGTCTTCAGTGTAACTTCTGAAAGTGTTAAGTGTCAGTGAAATGTCACCATTTAAGAATGTGTAGCTATCTGAAGATCTGAGCTCTGTTTCCTCTCAGCTGACAGGGTGCCTGTTCAGAGAACACCAGCTATAGGAAGTTATGGCTTATGGATGCACTGTCAGATCTTGCAGGTTAACTTATCTTGGTTTGGAGAAGAACCCAAATGAAGTCAGAACTACAGTTGTTGCTGGAGGTGGGATTCCTGCAAAGTGTTAGCGTTGTGGCCTACCAGGAGCAGGGATGTTGCTTGCAGCACAAGGCCTCCTTGTGCATGGAGTGTGAAACCAAGGCTGTCCCCTGCCCTGGCCTTCACAAATCCTCCAAGGATTCTACTAGCCAGACTTCAGAAACAGAAGGGGCATAGAAACCTGAATGATGGCCAGTGTTGTAAAACTTGAAAGAAGAGTTTTAAAATCCTACAGTGTTGTGTAAACAGTGTGCTTTTAAAGTAGGAGTGAAATTTGTGGGGTCCCACTTGCACACTGAATGGGTTGTAGTCTGGGTAGCATAATGGGGTCTCTCTTCTAGTTTCTGACCCAAGACCTTAGGGAAAGCTGTTATTTCCCCCTGCTATGGAGGGGTCAGCGTGAGTTCATGTCTAGAAACAGTGTGAGGTCGTTGCTAAACAAGAGCACAGTGTAAGCTCTGATTGGGAAAACAGGAGCTGTGCAGTCCTGTACAGAACAGCTTGAGGTGGCAACAGGAACTGTTGGGCACTGGGACTGTTTTTTTTAATCAAGGTGAAGTGATTAAGTAATTGAAAGACTTGTTTTGATATCAGTAAAGATCTGAACAGTCATTGACAGAAATAACTGATCAGTAAATGTGTCAAGCACTGTAAATGCTTCACTCTGTCTTAAGTCATCTACTAATGTTACAGCTGTGA